CCTGCCGCGCCTCACCCCGGCGCCGTGAGCGGCGGCTGCAGCTGCACCGAGGTGTTGAACAGCTCCAGGTCCACGTCCTCCACCTCATGGCCCCGGCAGCCCCCGGGGTACGTCACCACCGACACGCCCACCACGTTGCCGGCCACGTCCACGTGCAGGGTCAGCTGGTCCGAGAGGTGCGACTCCACCAGGGAGCACTGCGGGCAGGGCAGCATGAGTGGGGTGGCCGCCCCGGCCCCGCACCAGCCAGGGTGCGCTGCGTGTCCCACAGGCGCCCCGGGCTGGCCCCCAGCACGGGGACCCTCCGGGGAGGCCAGGCTTACACCGGGAGGTGGGGCGATGTGGCAGGGCGAGGCCGCCTGTCCCCTCACACTCACCGCGGGGACAAAGGAGGAGACGTAGCCACCAGCTTCTGCACCCTCGGGGGCCCCTGGCCGCCGGGGGACCCTCACCCGGTACAGGCCATTCAGGGCTGCCACATCCTGCAGGCCGGGGGGGGGGGTGTGTGTGAGAGGGCCGCGCCCCCGCTGAGCCCCACCAGGGCCCTGCTCCCCCAGCACCCCTGCTGGTTTGGGCATCTGCCCAGACCCTCCCACTGGGGCAGTGCGCTGGCAGGCAAGGCCACTGGGAGGCCGCAGGCCACTCCCCAAGGCCTAGGCCCAGCTGGACAGCAGCTTCGGGGGACCACTGTGGCGGAGAATCGGGAAAGCTGCCGCCTCGCACAGGGGGGCAGTTGGGGGCAGCCTCACCCCGGCCTCCCACAGAGACAGGACGCAGCGCCGGCCCCAGACTCCTTCCAGCCCTGGGGCCTCTGGCAGCTTTTGTGGGTTCCCCACAAGCTGGCACCTCCTCCCTCCCCTCCTCCAGCTGTGGCCGAAAGCCCCACCAACCCCACCGAGCTCTAGCATCCCTGCACCCCTGCACAGTGCTGCAGAGGGCGAGGGGCCTGGGAGGAGGGCCCGCTGGCTTGGGCCAGCTCTCGGGGGGCTCTCGCCATGAGTGAACCTCGCCCTCAGCGGCGTGGCCTGTCCTGGCTGGACCCGGAGCACAAAGAGGAGCCAGTGAGCACATGTGGGAGGGTGCAGGCGGAGGGCACCGGGCGAGCAAGAGGCCAGGGCACCCTCACTACCGGGCACATGCGGCCCGGAGCGGCGACAGTGGGGAGCAGCAGGGTGCTGGGGTCCCCCGGCCCTGCAGAGCCCGTGGACGTGCAGCGGGGACGCAGCAGGCCACCCCGGGCCCCGCCTCACCCGCAGCCGGGCCCGCTCCTCCTCACTGAGCTGCCGCTGGGACAGGGACACGGTGCCATCCTGCTGGTTCCAGAGGAGTGAGCCCCGCTTCCGGAAGTGGGCGCTGTCATCTGTGGGGAGCCTGGGCTCAGCCACCACCCCGACCCCTTCAGCGCCGGCAGCCACCAAGTCGCTTCTCCACCCTGAGCTCCCACTTCCCCTGCAAACCGGGGCACCCTCACCCCACCGCCTGCCTCACCGGGCACCCCGCAACAAAGGCCTGAACCCCATAGCTCCTGAGCCCAGTCGCTGCCTGGCCCACTCACGGCAACTCCCTCAGCTTGTTCCCCCAATACAAAGCCAGGCTGCAGAGCACAGGACCCCCAACACCAGAGCTCGGCAGAGCTGGCAGGGCCCCTCTAGGAGAGGCTCACCGGGGGCTGGCGCCCCGTTTGTGGCAAGCGCCCCGGGTCGGGGAGCCTGGCTTTGGGTGGGCACAGCCTGCCATTCCCTGAGCCTGGTTTCCTCTTCTGGAAAAAAGACCCAACTAACACCCACCCCATGGTGCAGGCTGGGGTCACGCGCCCGCCGCCCCCCATCTGACCTCCAGTGCAGGTGGGGAGGCTGCAGACCGGTGGGCGAGAGAACGGTGGGACTCACCGGTCTCAAAGGAGTGCTCCAGCACCAGGCCCACGGAGCCGCAGCCCTCGCCCTCTCGGCCATCCCCAGCCTGCAGGAGAGATGAGGGCCCGGTGAGGACCATGAGCAACCCCAGCATGGCAGGACCCAGACCCCCAAAACAGACAGACCAACTCGAGGAAGCAGCTTTATTTTCATATCCTATCCCCAAAGTGACGCAAGACCTTTCATGAGAAAACGCACCCTCCGCCCCCACCCCAGGGCGGGCAAGCGGGCCCAGCTATTTCCCAAGGTGACTATGTCCAGGTCAGCTCCCGCAAGCTGCATCATTAGCATTCGTGGTCAGGTGCACCCCGCTTTCTTCCCAAACTGACCTCCAGTGGCTTCGATTTCACCGGGGGCTCCGCTTGTCGTCTCTGTGGCCCTGCAAACCTCTCCTACTTCTGCGGCATCCTCTCTCCGCCCCGCACCCGGCCCACTTTGGTCTTCGCCTTGGTCTAGTTCAATCGGCTGCTGGAAAGCGCGCCCCCCCTCCCCCCACAAACTGGGGCCTGAACCCCACTCCCGTGCTTCTCATCCTCACCGACTGACACCCAATGCCCGAGGTGCCAGGCTCTGCGCGGGCCACACCTCCTCATGCACATTCACCGGGCGATCCCGGGCCCTGGGACGCGGAGGCTGCTCCCCAACCTTCGTTGGGGGCCTCCCTTCCACCGCCGAGCGCCATCAGACCCGCGTGCAGATACGCGACGGGGCTTCCATTGCCTAACTGGGCTCGGGCTTCCTCCCCGCGCGCGCGCCCGCCGCAGCCTGCTCTCCCCGGCTCCTTCGCCTCTTCTTCCGTCTCGGCCCGGTGCAGGCTGGATCCCACCTTGACCAACCTAAAGGCCCGCACCCCCCGATCTCCCTCGGCCTCGGCAGCGTCCACGCGCACTCACCCCCCGCGCGGCGGCCCCGGCCCGGCAGCCACTCCCTCGGGCCCGGCTGGGAGCTGCTGCCGCCAGGAGCAAGAGCAGGAGCAGCCGAGTCGCCCCGGGACCGGCCGCCGCCATCTCGGCCCCTCTCCGCCCGCCCAGCGGCAGGTGCTAGCTAGCGCGCGGAGCACGCCGGGAGGAAA